GCCATAATTGATTTTCTAATGAGAATGTGAATCCGTGGTGGGCTGGGCAGTGTCCTCCACCTTCCCCACACACACATAATTATATGGTTCACTCTTTTTAAGTTTTAACCAATGATGATGCCCCCCGGACTTGAGAGGACCGTGGAATCTCCGACGCCGATGGTGTTCAATTACCAAATCACCCATATTCCTAGTGGAAAGTTGGTGGCTGATTGAGGGCATTATGGTCATTGTAATAGGCAGGTTTATAATTTAAAGAGGATTTCGTTATCATGGCGAATGGACAAAGGAAAGTGGGGAACAAGCTTTAATAAAATCTCCGAAATTGATGAAGTTTGACTCAGCAAAATTACGGAAATGCCACTTCCCCCAAGGGTTAAATTCTACTTTTGACTCCATTGTTTGAAAAGTTCCTCTCCTTTGAATTAAATCCGCATTAAATGGAAAAACCAAACGCGGCCTTCTAAGAACTAGTCTTCGAGCAAGGCTTCAGACTTCAGATGGTCGTCCACGTCTCTTCTCCACCACTAAGGACAACAGTAAAATAGTAATGCTTTTTATAGGATCATGCGTAACATAATATAAACTAACTCCATAAAAGGTACGATGGTCGCGCGTTTTATTGAGGGTGGTGGAATCATAACAGAGGATCGAATTTTTTAATTATTAATAATTAATAAAATTAATTTATTAATTATTGTTCTTGTAAAAAAAAAGCGTAACATAATACAGTATATAATAGTTTTAATCCTAAGTTATTGCGAAATCTTTTTTTTTTTTTTAAGTTGTGTGTTTAAGGTTTACGAATTCTTTTTTTTTTTAATCTTCATTTTCTTAATATGAATTAATTTACTTTTCTTTCAAAAATATAATATATATTTATTTGATTTATTTTCACATTATATCATTATATAAAGTTTTTTTTATTATATTTTAAATTATATTAAATTATAAAATATAAATGATTAAATATGATGAGTTTTTTATATTAAGAAACCTATGGCATTTCAATAACTAAAATTGTACGGCGTGAAATCATTTAGATTACATAATTCTTTTTATTATTTATTAAAGAGGTATTTTAAGGGCATATGTTGAAAACAATCTTTAAAAGAAGAAAATTTATGTGACTTTTGAGAGGGAAGGGCAAAAGATTCTGGAATCAAAGTTGCAGGCATATGTAATTACCGAGCAGAGGTCCATTAATTGGATACTACAGGATGCCCATTTCGGTCCATTAATGATCGTCTTGTTCATTGTTTCCCCGAGGAACTTTTCAGTCACAGCGATCTGAGCGCTGATTTCTCAAGAACAGTGAACGGTCCTTCCCTCCCCTCTTAATTACCCAGGAAAGAGCAGTACCTCTCTGTAGATGCTAAACAAGCCGTTAAAGCACTCTGAAATTGTTCAATTTATCATTTTTATATGTTGAATTTGTTTATAGAGGACCCTATTTTGTCATCGATACAGTAACAGATTGTAAAAAATTAACCATTAAATAGAGAAAGAACCTCCACAATCAACAGACTCACACCCATCTAAACCCATCCAATGCAATATGTTTTGCAGTCCGATATAATCCAACTTGCATACCACTTTTTCCTTGTTCATACATCAGAATAGAGAAAAAGGGTAAAGATAAGAGTTCTGCCTCAAATGACTTATTGCATTCTTTCAACTTACAAATAAAAACAAGAATACATAACTTTAGAAGATGAATCATTGAAATTTATACTGATTAACTATTGGTATGAAAGCATTTTAATTGTGTGGGAAAAAAAAAAAATTCATCTAGGAGGGAGGGGACTATATTGGATAAAACAAAAGTAGAGTACAATTTTTTTTGTTACAAAATCAACATCACCATGAAAAAGGGCTTGCTCCCTGCAAAAAGACCTCATTTTCCACATCTTTCACCCATTGACAAACCCGGTTGCAAGTCTTTATTGCCACTGCCTGCACATTCAAATCAAATAGTAAAACCATTAAACTCTTTGCAAAGAAGCTTATTTTTCAGTAGAGGCAGAATATGCAAAAAGCAAACCTTGTCTGCCAGTGGATCAAATGCCGCATAGAATTCAAAATCTTGGGTGACCCAGCAGAGTAAAACTGCCACATCAAGAGATTACATAAATTCCCTGGTAAAGCCTTTCAGTAGAAAAAAACATGTAAATATATACAAGTGCTGTTCATCTGCTGATGAACTTATACAAGTGAAATTATGAGAGGACATCAGAAAATCTGATAAATGTAACTTTTACCCATCATTTTATATTTGAAGATGTCAACAAAACCAAATAATTACCATAATTTTCGTCTCTTCTAAACTGAGTTTTGTGGGGCCCTATTCCTTTATCATGCATGGAAGCATAAAGTTTCTGGTAGGCCCTATATAACCTGCAAAGGAAGAAACTAGTTAACACATTTCAAACAGCAACAAAGCCAACAACAAGAATCTCTATCACCATGAAAGAACTTCCAATAAAGTCAGAGAAAAACTCAGGGCCACCTTTTTTGTTGTTGGGCAGTGGTCAGTGGTGGTGAGAACTCTGAGGATATGTATTGATCCAGATATATGCTACGATAAATGAAATGCCAAAGTCCACCAGGGCCACCAGTGCCAACCACTGGTTCCCTAAATCTATCAGGAGAATCTGTTGGGAGCCTATGGTGTCCTAGATGAGGAGATGATCCCAATCGTGGCAATGCATCAGTGGCTAAATCCTCAACACGCATCCCACCATCTATCACAGATCTCTGAACTTCACTGAGAACATTTGACTTCAAAAGAACCATTTCTATACGTATCCTAAACAATTGCAGTCAAATTTGTCATCTGTCTAACAATGAAGAAAATAGTGTACTATAATCTGCACACAAGTTAACACATTTTCTACTTTAAGCCAATGATAGAACAACATTCCCATTCATTCTAAACATCTCAAGTTACTGATGCCACAATCAAACTAAGAAAACAAAGTTTACCTGCAATCTTTAAGATGGTGGAAAGCATCTGAACTAGTAGTCAACAACATTAAATATGTGTCAGCCTGCCACATTAAAGTAGATTTGTCATCCATGTGCTCTTAGCATGACCAATATAGAGCAAAATTCTCAACAGCACATGGCATGTGTTGAAGGTGTGAGATTTATGCTTCTATCAATATTACTGACCAACTACCTTTATGTGAAAATAAATATGCGGAACAAGTCTCACTCACATCTAGATAGTGGACATAAGCATACAAAAACGCCATGGGATTATATCTTGGTAAGCAAATTGGTGAGAACGATTCAGATGTCCTGCATGAATCATAAAGACCTCATAAGAATTGAGATCTTAAAAAATCATTCAGATAAATATAAATATTAAGACCAGATCAACATGATGCAAGCATAAGTCTAAATCTGTCATTTGCTTGTCTGAAAATAGATTATAAACTAAGCACCATCAAGCACAGCAAAATCACCCATTTAATATTCTTTAAAGTATAGAGTGAAAATATGTTTCACACAGAATTGGAGATACATGAATAAGGTTTTTTATTATTATGACATTGGATCAAGTCATGCCCAATGGAAAGAACAGTTCTGCATCGCATATGATAACTTTGGCCAAAATGAAGATGCTCAGAGGGTGGGACAAGAAGGAGGGAACTAAGCTAAGCTAAGCTAAAGTTAGCATTACTGCTTCAAGCTTATAGAGCAACTTGATATGCATAGTTAAAACACATAATATTGCTCCAATTAGCACAGTGAAGACTTCTCAGTCAGCTGTCATCATATGCTCCTCTGAGTTCATCAATAAAACATTAATTACAAAGTTTATTCTACTTGCCTAAATGATTCTGATGACATTACAAAGTTTGAAAGTAGCAACATATCATCTGGGTGAAGAGACGCTTTTTGTGCACCAACAAGACTAACAACCTGAAATAAGCTTCAAGTCGTCAAAATGCTCTGAACAGAAAACAGTGTTTACCAAAACTAGATAAGAGATTATCATGAATACAAATAATATTTCAAGGACCATGTACCAAACTTCAAAAAAAAGGGGGAGGGGAGGTTAGGAAGCTTTACCTTGTGTTTACACATCAGTATGGCAAACAGAACACCTGAATCAGCCACATCTTGCAATATAGCACCTGCTGCTTGCCTTGTTGCGTAAGCAAGAGGAAGACAAGTATATGCATGAAGAAATGTAGCTGGGTTCCTGAATGCATAGAAAGAAATAATTGATGAGAAATTATTTTACTCATCTGGATCAAGTATGAAATGAATGGGAAAAAAAAAGGAAGAAGAAATGGAATATGGGTGTTCCAATTAGTTACTGAAAAAATAATATACACAAGCCCCATGGGAAAAGAAACTAAGGTGAAACAGTCAAAGGCTCTCTCTCTCTCTTTCTATGTCTGATCCAAAAAAGTGAGATTGGGATAGGGACAGGGTGATAGAAATCTCCAATATCAGTAAATAAACATAAGGAGCAAAGAGACGCACCAACTGAAGGAATGGATGAGAGATGAGAAAACAACATCTGTTCCTCCAAGCAAAGGTGTCATATCAAACTTGGGATTCTTCTCGAAACATCTGTTTATGGACTTTGTTAAGATAAGTATCATCTGCATCCATTTTGTAATCAATCAGATAAGTAGTGGGGTCTTCATCACTGTGAGAAGAACTTCATCAGATATGCATGGACAATCAAATTAATCGTTTTAAAATAATGAAAGCATGAGTGCTACCTGACCATAAATAAGCTCTAATTGGCCCCTTAATGATTCATATGGTTCTTCTGTGCAACTGATACAAACTAAGTAAATTGGTCCCTTAACAAGGAAGACCACCTGGACACAAAATTTCGTCAGTGTCTCATTATACTGATTAAAGAACTAAAAGGACTGGATTTTGTAATATCAAAATCAGAAGATTAGTATCTGCAAGCACGAAGAGAACTAAATATGCTCTGATTGATTGGACTGTATCCTTAACCATGGTTAAAACAACCACCAACAAGACAGCTATATTCAAAGTTCACTGCAAATCAACTTGCAGCTTCCTTTTGTTGTACTCTTGAAATATTTCAGATGAAAGATATAATATTAGGAATTTACAATTACCATGTTAAGATTAAATAGCCAAGATGATGATAAAGCTGTTCTAATTAATGTATTTATCATCAAGTTGAAAACTCAACAAACACTAATTTTTTACCTGAGCACAGAGAAAATATAAACATACCTGGTGCTTTCCTGCTCTCACCAAATTGATGCGATCTCTCCTGGAAAGCAATGAATGAAGAAAACTAGTTAGGGTATTTGAGGAATTGACTTTGAAGAGGCAATAAGCCCTTGAAACAACAGATAATGAAGTAGAACATTTGGTCCTAAACAAAAAGTAAGCTACATATAGCTAAGTACCCATTCTCCACAAAAGAAATGATGGCTTGAAGTGTTGCTGAAAAACCTGCTAGCTTGTGCTCGTCTCCATATCTAGGATCAAAGAAAGATGCAACATTGCATTTATTGTGGACCCAACCATATAAATTACGGACTTCAGGAAATTATATAAAAAGGACCTGTAACAAACCTGGAATATATTGGTTTGCCAGAATTACTCAAAATAAAGAAGTGTTTTTTCCTCTTTCTCCATGATATTGAAGCATCATCCTGCACTTCATTGAAACCAGAAGTTCACTTCAATCCTAGCGATTGCTTTAGTCAGCTAACTAGTATAAACACTAATAACTAGCCCTACGATCATATCGAAATTGTATTCTTCCATTACTCCTCATCAATCCATTTTATATGCACAAACTCAGAATTAAAATTCAAAACCTGTCCTGAATAAGTGAGTATCATTCCAAAACTCCATATGCATTCTCATTTCTATTATTCAATTCTAAATTCTAAAGATTGCATTAACCATATAAACAGCATAAAATCATCCCAAACAATTCCACCGATTATTTCCGTTTTGCCTCTATAAAGCCTCCTAAGTTAGACTGAATTTGTTATGTGAACATGCAATTAAACTCACCTCATCAACATGCTTTTTCCCAGGGAGCCACGATGTCTGGGAATCTGACACTCCCTCAAGGAACACTTCATTCCTCTCTTCCTGTATTTCATCAGCAACCTCGCTCACCTCGTCCATCCTAGACGCGCTCGTGGCACTGCTACTCCCCCGCTCACCAGCGTATCCACTGCTGCTGGGACTCGGCGGCCCTTCCACTTCCACTTCAACTTCCACCTCCACCCCCACCCCCACTCCCGAATTCTCCCTCCCCCATACCACTCCGCTACTACCACCCACTCCTCGCTCCACACTATCACCTTCCCGGTTCTCAATTTCTCGACTATCCTCCTCGTTGCTCCTCCGATTCAACGTCCCATTGGAGATCTCATTCCCACTTCCCTGATGATTACTCCCCAATTGATCTCGTCCAGCCAACGTTAGCGATTCCAATTGTTCATCGATGGGCTTAGGATTGGAATTCCTATCGGGTGACTCGACACCCACAAAAGACGAAGAAGAGCTGGAAGCGGAAGACATTAGGCAATCAGATCATAGAAAAGATGCGATACCCAGGCTTCCAAAGGTAGGAAATTCGAAGAAAAGCGTGTCCTAACGAACCAATTAAAGAGTTTACTTGTCTTAATTCAGCAGCGACATGGGATACTCACTCTCCCTCCTTTTACGCTACCAGTCGTTGGCTTGGCTCTCCAAGCTTCCTTCGTGTTGGATATGTGTGTTGACCAGTGGGTGCACGGTCGAACTCTATTCGGTGATATTTACGGCCCGAACCCGGTTTACTGAATCCGCAATCCGGATCCACTTTTGCTTTATCTTTTCCTTTCTTCTTCTGGGCTTTCGGCGTCGTATTTGTGTTGAAGTCCAAGAGTTCTCTCTTTGGGCTTAAACTATAAATGGCAATCTTCTCGGACCTATGTGACACTCAAGAAGTACAAATTTAGGACGCCTAAAAATGGAAAAGAGAGAGAGAGAGAGAGAGAGAGAGATAAGCCCTTTGAGCTGACAGGCCCATTTACCGTGAGCCAGACCACACATCCTTGTTTTTAGACTTATAGGTATCACCAAGACCCATGAGACTTCATGTGACGCTGTCATCCTCCAACACAAACAGTTTCAATGTTTCGCATTCGTTATGTCGTCATAAAAGTTGAGAAAAAAAAAAAGGGCAGGACGACTAAAAACAGAGGGAGAACGTAAGCAGAACGCCACAGGAAGATGCCCGGTGGTGTGGGGGGGGAGAAAAAGAGATTTTTGACTTAAAGACAACACGTTTTCTTGTTTAGTTGTATGTGGCCAACAAAATAGTCCCTTCTAATTCTCAAGATATCTTTTTCCTTGTTTTAAAGTTTAAAAAATTATTTTATAAGGTAAATTGTATGTAGTTTTTTTATAAAAATATTTATAAAATTTTATAAAATAAATTATATATAATTTATCATATAAAATATTTTTTAAAAAATTATAATTTAAAATTTTTTAAATTTTATCAATGATTTAAGTAATTTTATAATTATTTTTTTATTAAAATTAAGATATATTAAATTTAAAAATCACGTAATATACAAATAAATTCAGATAAAATATAAAAAATAATTATATTTTATTATACAATCAAAATAAAAAATATTTTTTTTAATTTTTAATCTTAAAAGTTCAGACATTTCTTAGAGATAAAAAAAAAACTTTTATATAATCTAAAAATATTTTAAATACGAATGTCTTAAATCACAATAAAGATGATGGTTGCGTATACCAAACAGTCTTTTGAAAAGGATCCGGGCAATAGGAAACCGTTCTCAAACTTTCCAGTGACGACCAACTGCTGTTACAAATCTTTCCCCAGTTTGGCTTTAGTGACGAGAGTGTTATACTGGGCCAAGTTTATGCAAATCAGTGGGTGTGGGAGCTTTCAGCCTTCTGTCCTGACATGTCCCCTGCTACTTTTCCATTGAAAAGGATAAGTCGGATTTGACAATACTGCCCATAACAGCAAAATTTTTATTTTTAAAATCGTTTTCTATTTTTGGGAGAACCAGATAAGTCTCTCTCATTTGTAATTTTCATTTTTTTTCTTCTTAATTAAATATTTTAAATAAGTCAATGAACGCAAGTAGTTCAATAAATTTGTTTTCATTGAAAATTGAAAATAAAAAATCATAAATTTAAATTATATGATATATAAATAAAATAAAATAAAATAAAAAATAATTATTTTTTATTATGTAATTAAAATAATATATATTTTTTAAAATAATAATTAAAGGTATCGTGGGAGGCATTCCTTTTTATTTTTTATTTTTTTTATGAGAGTGGGAGGCATTCCTTCAACAAATACTAGTCATAGGTTTATAATTATTTCAAATATCTTTGATATCCTCTTAGATTAGCTTACTGAATATTAAACTTACTTGTTGCATTAAAGCATATGATATGGTTTGTAATTAAGAAGTTCTCTCTATTTTTTTTTATAATTTAATAGTGAATTATATAAAAAAAGATATTCTCCTTATTTTGTCAAATTCTTTCTTCCCAAAATATGATAATGGGTTTGAATTTGAAAATTTTAACTTGAAGTCTCAAATTTTTAGTTAGTGAAATTATTCTCTTGAGGGTAAATTAAGAAGTTCATGAAAAATACCCTCCTTTATCATTTTTAATGATTTGATCTAGAGTTAATAATGTGGCAACACACCTTTTCATCATTAAGGCCAGGCCCCCTAGGGTTACTTAACAAAAATATTATTGTTTGGCTTATTTAAAATTCCCCTTCCTCTTTCTCTTAAAAAAAAAAAAAAAAATTCCCCTTCCTCTTTGGTAAAAATTAAGGTTTGGCGTTGAGTGTTTGATACAATCTTCAACAAAGCTTTTCTAACTTTTAGTAAATAAATAACTAGGTTATATACTGTTTATGTTTCCAAATTTAAGGCAAGCTTGTAGTCTATGGATGAACAATAAACAAAACTAGTAGTATATGAATATTATCTAAAAATATATTAATAAATAAAATCAAAATTTAAAATTAAAATATAAGATTAATAAGGTAACTTATGTTAAGTTGTTTAAAATATAAAAAATAAATTATATATTATTTAATAATTATTTTAAAAAAATTCATGATATTATATACATAAATTAATATAATGATATGCCTTATGTGAAGTTAGTGATCTTAAATTTTCATCCTCGATTATTACTCTATCTAAAGACTTATTGTGCAGTCGTCTACAAGTAGCACTCTATAGTTACAAGATACCAAGAATGTCCAGGCTACTGCAGTAATATCAACTAATCTAGTCTAATCTAATCTACAGTAAATTTTAGTGGGCTATGGATAAGGATTATAACAAACCCTATCTAATGTGAAACTAACTGTAGTATGATGTAAATTAAAAATAAAAATAAAGAGAACTGCTATTGTTGTATGAAAAATATATATCAACTAAGACTTACTCTAATTAGAAACTCATAAACTGGAGGTTCCAGTACCTCTAAATCAAGATTCCAATTTTGTATTGTGCATGTAATTGTCCAACTTTTTAAGTTTGTTTCCATAGATGCTCAAAGTAGGATATTACCAAGGGAAAATTGACAGAAAAAGATAGAATTGAAGGGATAGATTTGACATTTGGTGACGTCTTTAAGGGGTCAATAATTGATCCCCTCGTTAATTCTTACCCACCCCCTGCAATTATTGAACCAGTTACAGCCCATTCTTTCTATTCCCAAAATACCCCCACCATCAATATTCAAAGTTTCAAACCCAACAATACAAAATCAAGCTTCAAAGTTTAAACTCAACTCAGCCCCACAAAATTTCCAATATACTACTAGGTTACATTGAAAAGGTCAAAAAAAGAAAAAAAGAAAGGGGTCGAAATTTCCTCCGAAGATTCTAGTACAAACTCGAAGTTAGAATTACATTTTTCGATAAATACCATTTCAAAGAAAAAACAAAAAAGACAAAATTTTTAGATAGGGGGGAGGGGGGGGGGTAAACAGTTGATTTTTTAAATAAAAATAAGTAATATTCCTCACTCTGTGTGGCATATGCGATTTTCGGTTCGTCTCGTGCTTCGTCTCCGTCAATCCTGGAACCCAGTTTTTTCAAAAATTGCATTTCTAACCATTCTCAGATCCCTTCCTTTCAATGTCCTCCCTATTCCTTCATGGACCGAGAAAGATGCGATCCTCGTCCTCGCCATTTGCCTCGCCAAAAACTCGTGCGGCGGAACCCTCACCCCTCCCTCATACCAATCATCCCCTTCCACATCATCATCGTCGCTCTCCGATCTCCTCCTGTTATCCCTGTACTCCTCCCTCAAGATCTTCGACCAGTCCGGTATATTGACCGGCAGAGAAGCCGCCGCCCCCCCGACGCCAGAATCAACGCGCTTCGCCGACTGCCTTTTCCCCACGCGAGAGTTCCCGAACTCCGGAGAGTCTGAGCGAGTCGCGGCCGTGTTGTAGAGATCCGACTCGTCGAGTTCGAACGATGAGTCGTGACCATGTGTCTCGTGATGCTGATGATCGCTAGAGAGAAACCGGTAGTTCGTTCTCGAGTAGTAGCCTTTGCTGCTTGCTGCCATCATCGGAACCTGAAATCCTTCGATTGACTCTCCGGTTTCTTCCTCAGTGTTTCTCTCTCTCCTCAGTTGGGATGGTATCGTCCTGCGTTGGGCTGTTTGGTTCAGCCATTCCTTCTCCTTTTATAAAAGTCGGGGGTTGCACAGTGGATAAGGGTGTCTCATTTTTCTCGCTCTACATCCACATCATGTTAAATTACCAAAAAGCCTTTCTGTTTTCATGGGATAAGCGCCACGTAGGATTTACCTGTACCTTTAGTTAATTTTTGAAAAGTTAATTACCGTACCTTTTTCCGCCCAGTATTTAGGGTTTAAAGTCTTAAACCCCGATTATTAAGGACCGTATTCACTTTTCCGTTAAAATGGGATTAAGACGTTAATATTTTTTTAATCTTTTAATATCGATTAATCACATTAAATTTGATTAATTTAAAATAATTACTTCGAAATTCTTTAAATTTAAAATTTTATTTAAGAAAATCAAATACCTTTTACTCAAACAAACATATGGTTAGTGAATTAAGATGTTAATAAATAACATTAATTAATATAACAAAAAATTATAGACAAACCTCTGTTTAAAAACAGGTGTTGAGATCTGTGATTTAATTTTAAATTAATTTAAATTTAATATAATTTTTAAATATTAAAAAATTATGTACTAAAAAATATATATAATATTGGTAAGTGCACTTATTTTGTAGGGTAAGTGGCTGATTTTGTCCATTTGGTTTAACGGAAATGTATTTTGATTCCTGGCGTTTGCAGGTTTGCCAATGTTTTGTAATTATTTTCAATATCCAAATCTTCACTATCACTAGAGCTTGGTAGCTTCAATCTTAGATCCCACACTATAAGGTTCAGTGATGAAATTTGATATTTATCCAATAAAATATAATATCTTATATTGTTAAATATTCTAACTAACCTCTAATTAGTAGAGGTTCATTAATCCAGTTAACTGAAAGATGGATAAAGTCCTGAACAACCGGACTTTAAAGCCCTAAATATTAGGATAAGAATATTTTTCAAAAAATGTTTTTGAGATAATATTTTATATTATATTTTTTATAATTTTACATATTATTTAAATAACTTATTTTTTTATTCATTTAATATTTATGATATTAAATGTATTTAATTATTTAATAATATATAAAAAGATTATTCTTATATCAACACACTATTTTTCCAAGAATAAAGAAGAGTTCATGTTTGAAAAAAAAGGGATAATATTATAGTTTCAATAGTATGTAAAATTATAAATTTATAATTTTATATAATATTTAATAAAATATACGTAGTATTAAACAAGTCAATGTATACATTTAATAATTAATTTTTATAATTAAATATAATTTAAATTGTAAAATAATTTTAAAAATTAAAGAAATATAAGTATAGTTATTTTACACATTGATTTAGAAAATCAAGGTATGTAATGTAACCCCAATTGCTAGTACAAAATTATTATATTTATAATATCATATAATATTATAAATTTATAATTATTAATTATTACTTTATTATTAAGTCTTTTT